CTATCTATCCTTAGTCAACCACCCCAAACTAATAACTAAACACGCACCATATTCAGCTGAGAGCCGTCCAATATTGTAATAATAAATTCAATTGTGTATATATATATTTTTTTACTACCTCTTTATGTTTTTTTTGTTTATTTATAATAGTATCCGTACGATAACAACGTGCAGACATCCAAATATATGAAACGAAAAGAAAAGGCAACGACTAATGGTTTGAAGGCAGGTACAACACAAACACAATACATTAATTATATATGTTTTCTTAGTAAGCAATATTGTATTGAAGATGTGGGGATAAGGCATGTTCAATGGAAGAATGATTAAAGTGCAAATTAAAAGCTCTAAACCTTGCTTTTTTTGGTGCAGTCCTCCTACTTGTTATTTTATCATCTGGATTGAGTAGCTGTTTAGTTAATTAATGTCTACTTGTTTAATTAATCTTTTTTATTAGTCCTCACCTACTCTCTCTCTCTCTCTCTCTCTTGCATGATCCAAAATGTGATCCTATTCTAAATGAGGTTTTGTTCCCCCCCTCCATGGCCATCTCTCTCTTTTAAAGCGAGATTGACTTACAGAGTCTAATTCAATTAATTTCTAATGCATTTTCCACCAAAGAGAACAGGCTCTCCTAAATTCCAAAGAACGACAAGTCATTAATCATTGGCTTTGTTGACCTAAATATGAAACGTCACCAAATTGGTCTTCCCTCCTTGGCCCCTCTCCTTGGAGTGTGTGTGTGTGAGGTTGACAACTTGACATGGATGATTGTCCCATGTTAGATGCAAACATTCCTTTAGTCATCCATCATTGGGCCCCACATCTCATAAACCCTTTTTATTTAATTATGAAAAAGAAAAAAAAAACATCTTAATTAAAATGTGGGTTAACGTTTAGGAACATCCATTGAAATATGGGTCATGCCCTTGTCTCATGCTCTTCACGCAAATCCTCCAGTATCTTTTATTCATCATGCTCTTTGTCTTTAATTAGGGCCCTTAATTATTTAATTTCTTTGTATTAAAAGCATTTAGAGTTGGCTTATCTTTAATTAGGTTTAGGTATAATGTCAATGTAGAGTAGAGCTCATCATTTTACATAATGTGTCCTAGGTTTCTCTAATCACAATATATATATACTAGCCTCTCCGCACGCGCTTCCGCGCTTGCGAGAGGCTTTTTTTAGAATTTTTTTAAATTATTTTAGAATTAAAAAAGAGAATGGGTAATTGTGTTCCTTAAAAATAGGATCAATTATCTGATTTTTCTTTTAATTTTATTTTTTTAAATATGAAAAAGTGTGAATTTACCATATTATCCTCATTTAATTAATAATTTCAATTTTTAATATTTGCATTAACCAAGGGCATTTTCTGGTATTTTGAATGTTTCACCATTCTCTTCATTTTGCTTTATATATACAGATATTAAATTAAAGAGGTTAGCCAAAAAAAAGAGTAAAGAAACTAATTTTATATTTCAAAAATTAAAAATTAAAATAAAATAAACATAACACCTTTCCCGACGAAATTTTATTGGCACAGACCTATGCCGGCAAAACTTTGTCGGATTAGGTTTTTCGCGATGAAAGAGCCTCTGCCGACAAAATTTCATCAGGAGAAGTGTATTGACTTGCGCCAACGAAATTTCATCGGGAGAGGTCCTTTTTAAAAAAATAAATATAAACTTAGGATATTTGGGTTAATTAATTTTTTTTAAAATTTATTGGTAGTAATTAAATAATATATTTGCTTTATTTTATTAGTTAAGTTAGTAATTATATTTTAATTATTATTTATTTAGTGAATAATTAATATTAAAAAATTTAATTAACTTCATGAATTATGTTACTTAATAAATAGTAATTCAATCTTTCGGTTTTCCTTTAATATTCACTAAGTAAAACCTAACTACTAATCAAAGTGATTAAAAAAGAGAGATACATATTAAAGGGTATAGCCGCGCGGCTATATGCTTTTGATATATACACCAACAATAAAAATATAAATATGGATTTCTTTGTTGGCTTAGCTTTTGAGGTGCCCTTTGTGAACAACCCATATCGAAAATCCACTCCTACAGAGGTCTTTATAAACAAAGCACTATGATGGTTTGGTAAGTGCGGCTTGAGTCCTCTAGACCCCTAAAAAACATTGTTTTCTATTGTAAAACTGGATTACATCTAAGTTTGTGTTTTAGGGTATAATAAAATGCTTAACCCACATCACAGGCGTGACCCTTAAGAGAGAGCTGACGGTCATGAGTTCTTCAAGATTAGGTTTGCTCTAAAGTTGCAGCTTCTGTAGCTGGTGAGGAGGAACAAGTTGGATGGTTAAGTAACTTGCCCTCCCTGTCCCTGCATATATATATATATATATCAAGGACAAGAAGGGTCACATACAACAGCTTTTTGTACTATCTGTGCTAGCTAAGAGACAATTAAGCATGGGAAGCAAGATGAGACAATATTGTCATTTTTGTTGCCAGTTTAATTAAGTCAATAATGCTTTCGTCCAAGAATTGCACTCCATCAAAATTATGAGGGGCTTGTAGCTCAAGCGGTTAAAAGCAGTTCCCTCCCTTTACACCCGAGGTTGTGTGTGTTCGAATCCCCCTCTAATACACATATGTTAATTAGGAAAAAAATGAAACAGCGCAAACGTATAAACAAAGGTTTAGCTGTGTGTGCATAAAATAAACAAGTTGTTTGTTGAACTGCTATTGTTTATAAGATTTGCTCAAGTATTAATCATAAAATAAGAGGGCTTGTTTTTGCAATATCATATACACATGATGCCTTAATTAGTCTCACTCAGATTTTGTTTACTTAAAGATACTCAAGTTATTAGGCCTTTTCCTGATTTTCTTCAACTGGGATTCGACAATTTTAGTGATGTAATATGCACCTAATAATCTTGTAAGTACTCAGAAAATTAAGTAGGAAATACGTAAAGGGCAGGCTTGATTTGATTGATACTTCTTAACTTGTTTCCTTCACAAAAGATCCTCTCAGATTTTATTATTAAGTCAACTCTTCTTACTTGGAGAGAAAAACCATATGACAATGCTTTTTTCAACCCAAAAATGAGTTGGGCCTTTTTTGGTTTTCTTTTCCTTTTTTTTCTGATCCAATTATTAAAATGAGCTGGGCCTTTTGATATTTTTCATTGGGCCATCTGTCACTGTATGGTCATGTGATTTAAATTCTTTTTAAAATTGGGCCTTTGGTCTAGGCCATGTTCTTGTACCTGTAATTAGTGCGATAAATACGTGTGTCACTTTTTAATCAAGAAATTCACTCTTAATATGAGTTTAATTAGAGTCCATCCATTTCAGTTAAAAAAAAAAAAACCCTTGCATTCTTCTCGAGGGTGTATCAAATAGCAACACTCTATAATAATTTTTTAAAAATTAATTAATTTTATGATTGGGCAACGAAAAATACTTTAGCATGATTGTGACATTAATCTTATCGTTCATCTATATTATATCTTTCAAATTAATAACACGAATGATACTGTAACCGTCAAGACACATGATGTTTAAGTCATCATCTAATTTGGAATGGCACTAAAGCTAAAAATTGAATCAAAAGTTCTTTTGTTGCCAGTTTAATTAAGTCAATAATGCTTTCGTCCAAGAATTGAACTCCATCAAAATTATGAGGGGCTTGTAGCTCAAGCGGTTAAAAGCAGTTCCCTCCCTTTACACCCGAGGTTGTGTGTGTTCGAATCCCCCTCTAATACACATATGTTAATTAGGAAAAAAATGAAACAGCGCAAACGTATAAACAAAGGTTTAGCTGTGTGTGCATAAAATAAACAAGTTGTTTGTTGAACTGCTATTGTTTATAAGATTTGCTCAAGTATTAATCATAAAATAAGAGGGCTTGTTTTTGCAATATCATATACACATGATGCCTTAATTAGTCTCACTCAGATTTTGTTTACTTAAAGATACTCAAGTTATTAGGCCTTTTCCTGATTTTCTTCAACTGGGATTCGACAATTTTAGTGATGTAATATGCACCTAATAATCTTGTAAGTACTCAGAAAATTAAGTAGGAAATACGTAAAGGGCAGGCTTGATTTGATTGATACTTCTTAACTTGTTTCCTTCACAAAAGATCCTCTCAGATTTTATTATTAAGTCAACTCTTCTTACTTGGAGAGAAAAACCATATGACAATGCTTTTTTCAACCCAAAAATGAGTTGGGCCTTTTTTGGTTTTCTTTTCCTTTTTTTTCTGATCCAATTATTAAAATGAGCTGGGCCTTTTGATATTTTTCATTGGGCCATCTGTCACTGTATGGTCATGTGATTTAAATTCTTTTTAAAATTGGGCCTTTGGTCTAGGCCATGTTCTTGTACCTGTAATTAGTGCGATAAATACGTGTGTCACTTTTTAATCAAGAAATTCACTCTTAATATGAGTTTAATTAGAGTCCATCCATTTCAGTTAAAAAAAAAAAAACCCTTGCATTCTTCTCGAGGGTGTATCAAATAGCAACACTCTATAATAATTTTTAAAAAATTAATTAATTTTATGATTGGGCAACGAAAAATACTTTAGCATGATTGTGACATTAATCTTATCGTTCATCTATATTATATCTTTTTTTTTTGGTTACATTTGGAGGAAAGAAACCCCACTGGGGTTCGATCCTGGGTGCCATGGGGGGAAGGGGGAATCCACCACCACTGTGGTGGGAACCCATTGGCATCTATATTATATCTTTCAAATTAATAACACGAATGATACTGTAACCGTCAAGACACATGATGTTTAAGTCATCATCTAATTTGGAATGGCACTAAAGCTAAAAATTGAATCAAAAGTTCTTCCCTTATTAACTGTTGTGGAAATTATGGCATGATCCAAGGGTCGAAAGTGATGATGGGATGTGCCACATTTCTTTTAGTGGGACCATGATATTGACAAGCCAACAACAACACATGTGCACTTGCCATCTTCCCAAGCAAAACAAAGAAAAACTGTGCAACCAAAAAATACTAAAGTGATTGAAAAGAGATCATCTCTTTCAAGCGAAATTTCTCAAGATTCCTTTTTCAGTCACATCGCAATCACTTTCTGGCGAAAGGTAATCTTCTCTAATCATATGGCCATGGAGCCATTTATCTAAATGCTGATATCTCCCAGTTTCTTAATGCTTATTGACAATAATTAGTGCACCCACCTTACCCTTTTTCTTGCACATGAATTGCTTGCTCACGCATTTTATTCCCAATTGGATAAGATTTGTGTGTATGTGAATATAATAACAAGATAGAAAGATATAGTTTTCGGTTCACTTATTATGCAGAAATTTTGTTGAATTCTCAGTGTAGTTTCCTTTCTCTCATTCCACAAGTATTTGCCAAATCTTAATGGCATTCTACAGCTCCAGCTACTACGAGACTGATGATCATGGTGAGTATTATTTAACCCCTTATTCTGATGATCTTTCTGCTCCAGTTCAACTAGATCAAGGGCCAACAATATCTTATTCTAGCTATGAACCCAGCTTTCAAAACTTCCTTGAGTATGTTCCAACCCCATATTTTCATTCTTTTCATTCATACTCTGCCTCTCCTTGTTGTAGCAAGCCAATATCCATTGAATACAACCCAAAGTTTTACGAGCAGAGTTATGATACTCAATTCTTGATCTCTTACTCCGTATCCGAGTTTAACGTGCCTGATTTTGAAGAATATGATCCTACACCTTATGATGGTGGGTTTGATATTGCTCAAGTGTATGGCAAGCCCCTTTCACCTTCAGAAGAAACTTGTTATCCTTTGAATGGTGGATCTGTGTCTGTCACACCAGTGGGTGGTAATAAAGAGCAAATTAATGAGCAAGCAGCAAAACCCATCAATGGAAGCCAACCAATCCAGGCTCATGAAGAAGAGCAGAAGCAGCACCAAGAGAGCAGGGAAGATCAGCCAAGTCAAGAGAGCACTGACCAGGGAAAGCCTGATCATCAAGTTGAGGAAGTTGAAGAAAGTAAGGGAAGTGACCATGAACACAATCTTGGGTCTGTAAGCCATGGATATGAGAAGCAAGCTCATCAAATTCCTAGTGGTTATGGATTGGAAGCCATGGACATTTGTGAGAGTTTATTTGGCTACTGGCCTTGCCTGTCTCGTGATTTTAAGAGAGGGAATGATACTGGTCAAGGGTTTTCTGGGGAGGGAAGATACGGCAACCCATGGGAAGGAACTGCAGATTATCTTTTTGGAAGCTCAAATCCATATGGAGAAAGAAGAGATGAAGAGAGTTCCTATGGGGGATCTGTTTATGCTTATCAAGGACATTATCTTGAACAGCCTCAGAATTGGCAGGGTTGAGAGCATGAGGAAAATTCATTATTGTTGCATAAATTCAAGTTGTCTTGAAGATTGTAAGAGCTTTTGGCAACTATTTGGGCACACTTGTTTTCTTTCTCTGTCACAGAGTCTTGGTTTGTAAGGATGAATAATTATGTTGGACAAAATTTTCTAAATGGCTCTTTCTTTTTCTTAATGCCTTGGATTATATTGTTGTTAAGGCGATAATGACAGCAGTTAAGGCATCATCAGCAGCAGGCAAACTTAGGAGAGTGCCATTAGCTTAGCATGGATCAAATGAAAGCATGTGTGCGTGAAGTTACAATGATAATTATCCTTTAAGGAAAGCATTCATACTAACAGATTTGATGGTTAGGACTTGATTATGCCGCCTGATGCATCGACATCTTCGTCCTTAAATATATGACCCAGAATAATGCACCGAAGTATCATTATGCAAGCAGCCTAAGAAGATGAACATATTGTTTTTTGGTAGGTTTTTTTTACCAATTAACTTATAAATCCAAAGCTTTAAGGGTTACTCTGTTTTGTATTTTATAATCTAAAAGCATGATGGCAATGAAAACAAAAATTCTAAACGTTACGCTAATGTTTTTAATGTATCAGAAGAGGGATTGAACTTGAGTATAAAGGAGCAGACGCTATCTTAACCAACCGGCATGCTTTCGATACACTGAACCAACCCAATCTTATTGGTTGGGCTGACCTTGTATTAACTATTAAGATTGGTCCAGCCCTCCAGGCTTGGATTGTAGCCTGACCCAAGATGGTCTATTGAGCGAATTAAGTTCGATCCAATGGTTGACCAGTTTTTTGATTTATATACTTATTCAACATCGGTGAGGTCGACCATTAGATATTTGTGGAAATTAAATAAATATTGTACGTATTTTTGGGAATCCTGTATTATAATATTAATTATCAATTATTTTATGATAGCATCATAGTAGCTTTCCCAAAACGAAACCTTAAATTAAAACCCTTGTTGAAACCTCAGACATTCAGCTTTTGTCTGTCCTTTGAAAGTCCCTTCCTTCCTTCACACCATGTCTCTGACACCCGTATCTTTGCTCACTCTCTCTCTCCTCCTTCTTCTTCCTCTCACAGCCACCTCATCCCTCCACAACCTCCTCCAAAGCCAAGGCCTTCCAGCTGGGCTCTTCCCTGACAATGTAAAGTCTTACAATCTTGACCCGATGGGTCGCCTGGAGGTTCATCTAGACTGTTCATGCATGACCAAGTTTGAGACCAGGGTCTACTTTGAGAACATAGTCAGAGCTAATCTCAGCTATGGTGGTCTAAGAGGCTTGGAGGGTCTGATCCAAGAAGAGCTTTTTCTCTGGCTTCCAGTGAAGGGAATTTCAGTGAGTGATCCATCTTCTGGTCTAATTTTGTTTGACATTGGTGTTGCCCATAAGCAGCTTTCTCTGTCTCTCTTTGAAGACCCTCCTGTCTGTAAGCCTGAAGCTCAAGGTACTCAAAAATTACATCTTTTTCTCTCTCTTCTTTCTACAGTTTCAAATAGATTGGTACTGATCTTTGAGATGAAATTATAAAGCTGTCAATTTTCAATTTTCCCCTCCTTTTAATCTTTTATTGGCAGCCAAACAGAGGTCAATTGGCTATTTGATTAAATCCATTCATTCTGGGAATTTTCTGGCATTAAGGGGTCAAAAAAATTAACATTTGAAACATTCAAACATGGAATGCAGGAATTTTCTCAAAGAATGATGGTGGGAGGAAGATTGGATTTCAGGCCCAGAGATGAAGGATTGATCTTTTCAGTTGACAGATAATTTTCTCCTCTTTTGTTTTTGGTTTTTGTGCTTTTCAATATTGAGAAGAAGAAAAAAGGTGTTATGTTCATAGAAGCTGTTAAGATTGTAAAAAAAACTGAGTGTAAGTTTTGGAATCAAATGACAAAGTTTTGTGATTTCCCTCAAAGAAAAAGTGATGAGGATTGGAAATTTTGGGGTTTTATATTGTCTCAGTAGTTACTTGGTCACTAAGCCTGTAATATTGGTTAGCTGTCTTGTGGTGTTTGCTTTTGAGTTCATGTCTCAACCAGATTGTTGACCACCTTAGTGGGATCAATCTGTCCCTTCTGTTGGTTCCTAACCAAATGTCTCAAGGCCAGCAGTTTGCCATTTCTTTAATCAGTACAATATATATGAAGATGATGCATAAATGATGTCCTGGATTACCATTTGCTACCAAACACAATGACTAAATAGTAAATAATTCCAATCTGACCTCTGACTTGAAATCAACAAGTCATGAAAACAGAAAACAGAAAACAGAAAACTCTGTTAGTTTCAAGGGTAAATAGAATAGAATATCTGATGCTTCCATTTGCTCTATATGCTATTGATGATCTCTAGCATCAATTCCTTGGTTTGCTCAACTTCAAGCGTTTCGCAGTAGAATCCCTGAAAATCATTAGAATTGATATTAATTTAATGTGCTCAATTCAGTAAAGTGGTGCTTTTGTATCAAAGTATATTCATAGTGTTGTGAGTTTCTTGGAACTGATATGCTGTGACTTACCATGACACAAGATGAAACAAGCATTGCTCCATTGGAGGTAGTGACACTGGTATCAGTGAGTTCAAAGCCAAAGGCAGTCATGGCCTCCATCAGTTTAGTGAACCCACCTCTTTTCTTCTCAAGGATTGCCTTTACCCAAAGTTTGTTCCCATCTATCTGAGTCACATTGACCCCTGCCTGCCAACACCAGCAACCAACATTTAAAATATAAGTAGAAGAACTCCCATGTTTCAAAGAGATCAAATGTGCAGAGTTATTAGCTGGTTGTCCAAACCTGAATCCCAAATTTCTTCATCTCTTCTGCAGCCTGAATTTCTTCTTTCTTCGGCTCCGGTGCCTCTTCTTCTGAAGCTTCCATATCAAAAAGCTGGTCTTTGAGCATGTTCACAGTCTTCTGCAGCTCGTGGATATAAGTGATGGCATCCTCAATAATAGTTGCTTTGTTCATCTGAGACAGGACAAGAAACAAGAATTAGATTCTACTCTCCACCTTTGAATTAAAAAAAGAAAAAGAAAAGTATAGGGCTTAATTATGAAACTTGATATGAAATAAATAGAATACTGGCATTTGTAATGTTTGGGACCAAAGCACGTAGGATGAGGAGGCGTTCACTGAGTTTCTGCCGTCTCCTCCTCTCGGCGTGGAGGTTAATGGACTCGTATTCGTCGTCATTGTTGTGACTCTGATGACCGATCCTACCCCCTCTTTTACCTTGTTCAGTTATGCATAATTCATCCAAGGCAGAGGATACAAACTCCATGTTCTGGAGATATTGATGAAACTTAAGTTTGAGAGAGAGAGAGAGAGAGAGAGAGAGAGAGAGAGAGAGACTAATGTTGGCTATGAATTATATAACTGGTCCTCACAAGGGAATCATTTCATTGTGTGTGAGAGAGGAGCAACCAAGCTGCTTCAGTTATGATTTTCACAAGAAGCGCAGTTCCTTATAGTCCAACTAACTAAACTTGAGAGAGAGAGAGAGAGAGAGAGAGAGTTATAGTCAGTTGTGTTATCGCAATTGGGTTGGGCAGGCTTTGGTTTAATCATGTACATAAATAGTTTCTACAGTTGTATGTTTGCTGCAATAATCTGGAGCGTTAAATTAATCAATGGATGGGATTAAAGAATTGAATGATAAGAGGGTTCATTTTTCAGAGTGGATTTGAGCTAAGAAGTGAAGTAGAAGCCTCAACAACAGCTAGCATTCATTCACATGTTGAATGAGGAACAAAAAAAAAATTCTAGTTTTTGTGTTTTCTGTTGAATGTTCATGTCATGCCTGTTGGTCCTTGTTGACTGGAAAAAGTACAAACGAATGAAGTTTGTTAGAGCACCAGACATATACAGACTACACTTTTTATTTTCTAACGCAATTCTGAAGATTTGTGGTACATTATTTTCTTTTCTGGAACAGCATTGCTCCCAACGCACAAACTTCTTCGACCTATCTCAACCAAGCCCAATTTTATTTCAGCCCAACAAGTTTGTTTTGGGTCCGATGGAGCTTGAAAACAAAAGAGAAAAAGAGGAAAAAACAAAAAAACAAAAAGCTACTGACAGTTAGAAACTCGGTTAAAATTGTTTTTCATTCTGTAACTTAGAGCGTTTCCACTGATTGCCCAAGCCAGGGCAGGATAGGGCCCAAGCCCAGGCTGTGCGTTCCAGCGGGCCAAACTTGCCCGGGCAAGAGGCGGGTCCCACAAAACTGGGCCAGCCCGCAGGTGAAATGAGCCTATGCTCCAGCCCAAGGGTTGCTGACGCCAACCTGACATTAGCACTCGGGTTAGAATTTTTTTTACCTTTGGCGCGTGCATTGCACGTGCCAACAGTAAAAAAAATTTAAACTCCCGTGCACTGATGCCAGGCTAGCATCATCCCTGCTTTTCACCAACGGTAACACGCCATGTGGCGCGTTCTGGTCACTCAGATAGTTTTTTCCCTCAAATCCAACGGCGACCCTTCTTTTTGGCTTAAAAAATTTGAAAAAAATCCGAATTGTTTTTTTAAAATTACCAAAAAATTATGGAATTTTTTTTCTATAAATACCTACCAATGTTGTTCACTTTCAACACAAAATCCTCATACATTTTCTCCTTCTAATATTATTCACTTTCTACACAAAATTTTCTTCACTTTCAATTTTCATTTTTATTCACCATCTTATGGCATCTTCCATTGATGAAGGAGGGACGTGGACAACAATGGAAGATGTTATGTTGTATGAGTGTTGGGTCCAAGTTAGTCATTGTCTGATCACGAGCAATGAGATGAAATTCTGTCATATGTGGAGAAAAATTCATGTTGAATTTTGTGAAAGATCGGGTTCGGCTCGTATGAAAATGGCCTTGGATAGTAGGTGGAAAATTTTGAATAAAGGGTTGGGGAAATGGAGAAATGCGTTAGCAAAAGCGAGGGACAACTATCGAAGCAGTGAAAATCTTGGCAATGAGTTAAATTATTTGTAATTTCCGTTTTATTAAATTTAATGTCCTAATTTTTTTTGTGTTAATGTTTCTTGCATTTCCAATATTTTTGTAATGTTACTTGCATTTTCTTTTTCTTTTTTTTTTAAATATTTCTTGCATTTTCAATATTTTTTTAATGTGTCTTGCATTTCCAATATTTTTTTCTTAATAGATTATGTAAGCACAAATGTGGTTCAGTGCCATTAGGCATGGCAGAAAATCTTTCAACCATCAATAATGTTGAGAGATGGTGAAAAATTGCAAACGATTCAAAATTATTCCCACAGGTCCGACCGTTGTGTTGAACGAGATCCCACTCCATGATTCAACGGCATCGGATTCGCCTTTGGATTCCCCGATGAGTCAAGACTCATCAATTCAAAATGTGCCGAGGCCTATTGGTTGAAAGGCAGCAAAGGCTAAAAGAGGGAGTACTTCCAACAATGATACTGCAAAAATTTTGGAGCAAATTGCAAGGAAGGGCACCATGAGAATTGAGTTAGACAAGAAAAAAGATGCGAACAAGAAGGCATTGAATGAAGAATATGCAAGAGAAAGGGAGTATATATGCAAACAAGACATTGAGAATAAGGATAAGGAGATGGCCATGGATACAAGCCATATGTCCCCTGAAACAAAACAATTTTGGAAGATAGAATGAAGGGATGTTATGAGAAGAAGACTTTTCCGTGACGATGGACCTAGCAACACCAATTGGTTAAATAATCAAAACCATTAAGTTAATTTGCTTGCCTTTTTTTTTTAATTGTATTGCTTGTTTTGTATTAAAGTAGTTGTAGTTCTGTTGGCTGCGCAAATCTCACGCCCTGGGGTTCCGGGCCGAGGGGATATGCATTAACACGTGGCTTCCTTCTTTTGGATGCGGTGCGGTTGTGCGCGGACGTGCCAGCACAGTCTACCGTGTGTCGAGATGTGGTTTGGATAAAATGGTCCAGTGGTGCGCCTGTTTGAATTCGACTTCCAATCGAACGATTATGGCCGAGAGAGAAACTGATCTCGGCCGTCAGGTTCACAGCCTGAGCTACAAGGCCGTTTAGTGGTGGTGTGGATGGTGGGTTTTGGGCGTTGCTCCGGCGCGTTGCTCAGTGAGCGACGGTCGTATGATATATGGGGTGAATGAAAGAGTAACAGAGATGGTGCTCCGGCGCCTTGAAAATCAAGGGTCGTATGATATATTGATGAACGGATTTTCCTTACAAACTAACACTACTCCTAGGAAAGCAAATAAAGATATTGAAAGTACACTACAGGAAAATATAATTTGCTCTGTGGGAGGCTTTGGTTTAGTGTTTGAACCCTTTGAATGTAGCTTGAACTTGGTATTTATAGGAAGAGTTCTTGGAAGAGTAATCGAGGCTGAAAATCTGCATGGTGGAGCCTGATCAGAGTAAGTGGGTAGTCCAATCGACATTTGGGATCGTGAAGCATGGTGGTGTGACCCCATGAATCCTGGTAAATCTCGGCCGCCGCCCTGATCGTGGGTTCTGCGTTGGCGCCTAACCACTTTGATTTCTGTCACCAAATCCTGACTTGAGTCACTTCCCTTTTTCCCTCGTGCATTAAATGCCCTTTTGCGGCTAGTGGGTTTGCTAGTCAAAGGCGTTACTTCATTAAATGAAGCGTGGGACCCTGCTGCCATGTGACGATTTGACTCTTAATATCTTCGGCCGTGTCCCCTTCGTCCCTCGGACTCGGCCTGTCGATACCGTGTTTGCAAGGCCGAGATGACTATGCATTCGCAACTTTTCCTTTGTTTTGAGGAAGGCAAAAGTACTGCGTTTTGGATTGCGAACAGGTGCTGAGGCCGAGGGGGAAGACCCATTTGGTCAGTGTACGACCGTGATTTATCAGGCACAAACAAGTTCTTGTTTTTTATTTAATTAGTAGTTTTTCTTAATTAATTGTATTGCTTTTCTTTGAGTGAATAAAGAAATCATTCAATAAAATACCTTTTTATTCAACACATTGCATACATCAAACAAAACATAAGTATAAAAAATAAAATAAAAAAGGGTAATGATTTCCCCACTTCAATTTTATCCACTTACACTCCTTTTTTAATTATAAAATAGAGTGTAAGTGGATAAATTGGAGTGGGGAAATCACCACTAAAAAAAAAACCACAACCAAAGCATAATTTAAAAAAAAAACACAACCAAAGCAAAATTAAAAACAAAGCATCTTCACTTCACTTCATTCACCGTCATTGCCTCTCACCACCCATAAGTGCTCGATCAAGTCAACTTGTTGTCGTTCATGAATGTAAAACGATTGCATCTCCGTATATCAATCAATCATACGATTCATAAAATGACCGTCCCTCACCAACGGTTCATGCTCCAGTGGTTGTCTATTTGCTCTCATAGGCCTTTCATAAATTCTTGTTAAGGCCGTGTCCATGGGATCTGGTTCGAACACGTCTGGAGCATCATAATCATACTCATCCTCCACAATCATGTTATGGAGGATGATGCACGTCATCATGATGCTCCGAAGCACCTCCTCATCAAACATACAAGCAGCACCCCTAATAATTGCCCCTCGAGCTTGGAGGATACCAAAACACCTTTCAACATCTTTCCTGTAATCCTCTTGATAGGCAGAAAATAATTTTTCCTTCTCTGATGTGGAATTGATTTGACATGGTCCACCTCGGGTAGATGTCGTATGCTAGATAATACCCATTCCAGTAGACGGTATTGTTGATTTCATATGTGATATTTGGGGCTCCACCTCTCAAGACATCTTTGAATACCGGAGATTGACCCAGCACGTTTAGGTCGTTTTGAGATCCGGCAACTCCGAAAAAGGTATGCCGAACCCATGTATAGAATCCAGCAACAGCTTCAAGAATGATACTTTTTTGCCATTTTCTATTCCCATAATCTCCTTGTCAGACAGTTGGGCAATTCTTCCATTGCCAGTGCATACAGTCTATGCTTCCAATAATGCCTGGAAAACCTCGAGCTTAAGCTTTTTGTAGAAGCCTTTGGAGGTCCCTAGGCGCAGGTTTGCAAAGGTAGTCCATAGTGTATAGAGTTTCGATTGCATCACAGAATCTGACCAAGCTCTCTAGAGTAGTGGACTTCCCCATCCTAGCAATCTCATCCACATAATCAGTAGATGCACTATACACCAGCAGTAAGCTTTTGCTCCGGAAGAAGCCCCAAAACCCCAGCAGCATCACACTTCTAAACGAAGTATGCATCATAATTGCAAACATCATGCATTATATATTGCCCAAGAAAATCAACATTAGAGTACACATAATTTGGAATAAAGTAATCTTCCAAAATATTCTTACCCCGAGAATTCCTATGTTTGTCCACATTCGGGCCACAACCGACTTGTGAACCACGGCTGTGGCCTTGGCTTTATAGATCGAGCATACCCACTGCCATGACAACTTGTTCATCATCTTCTTGCTATACCCTTTTTTCTTCAGCTCGTCTACGCCTTCTTTCTTTAATTTCTCGCTCTTGCCTCTCCAAGCATCTCCTCATGTCTGACATTGAGAGTGGAGTATGAAATCTAAAATATGAGAAATGAAAGGATAAAGAAGATATAGTGTGAGAGGTATGAGCCTCTGGTTTTATAGAGAGATTTCGAAGATAGAGATGACACATAACGCGATTTTAGAGGGTTAAAATCTTATCTGAAATTTGAGATTTGTATTTTTATAATAAATATCAACATGTGGCACCTGAGAATCTTATCTTAAAACCTTATCTGAAATTTAAGATTTGTATTTTATAATAAATATCAACACGTGGCAACCGAGAATCTTATCCGAAAATTTTATTCGAAAAATTCATTCTATTATGAGATTTGAATTTTATAATAAATATTGACACGTGGGAACCAAAATCTTATCGGAAAAATCTTCTCCAAATTAATTGTTTAGGTAAAAAAAAAAAAAAAAAAAAACTAAAAGTGAATAGTATTTGCCCTTTGCCATGGCAATGGGTGGAAACACACATTGCCTTTTGCAAGGGCTGCCATTATTAATGTAAATAGTAATAGCCATTGCCTCCCCTTACCCTTTGCCATGACAAATGGGTGGAAGTGATCTTACCTATTATCGGTAACCCACAAAGGGGCCAAAACCCAAAACCCCACAGTCAGCCACCACCATTGGTTAACGATGTCGTTCTCTCGCATCCTTCAGCATGCCTTCTGCACCAATACCCAACCCAACCCCACTACCAGCTAGAGCATTAAGGCCATCTCCATCGACCTCTACAAAGAGTGCAACCTCAAACGCCTCGTCAAGAAGTTCAAAAAGTCCTCTGAGCTCTATCGTTTCCGAACCAAAACCCCTATTTACGAGGATGCCGTTCGCCGCCTCGCCGCCGTAAAACGTTTCGAGTGGATCAAAGAGATCCTAGAGGACCATAGAGGACCAGAAGAAGTACCCGAACTTCTCCAATGAGGGCTTCGCTGTCCGACTCGTTTCGCTCTACGGTAAAGCCAGTATGCTTGAAAATGACAAAGTTTTGGGATTTCCCTCAAGGAAAAAGTGATGAGGATTGGAAATTTTGGGGTTTTATATTGTCTCAGTAGTTACTTGGTCACTAACCCTGTAATATTGGTTAGCTGTCTTGTGGTATTTGCTTTTATGTCTCAACCAGATTGTTGACCACCTTAGAGCATTTCCAGCAGTTGCCCCTTGCCATGGCAAGGGGGGGCTAGGGCAGCCACTATTCACGTGAGTAGTGGCTGCCCTTGCAAAAAGCAATGTTGGGTTCCAGTAGTTGCCCTAGTTTAGGGCAAACACTATTTATTTTTTTGTTTTTTACAAATTTGTTTACTTAAATAATTAATTTGGACAATATTTTCGAATAAGATTTTTGGTGTGGGAAGTGAAAAATATGACTAAGTATTTATTTTTAAAAATTCTGAATTTTTTTTATTTTTTAAAGATTTTAAAAATTTTAAATAAAAAAAATTTGTTGCTGACGTCAACCCCCTTGTTTTGTAACTCAAGCTGGACCTGCCCTCGGGCCAGCCCTTGCTGCTGGAGCCCATTTTTCACCCAAAACCCCCCAGCCCGAGTCCAACCTTAGCTGCTGGACTTGCTCTTAGTGGGATCATTCTGTCCCTTCTGTTCGTTCCTAACCAGAAGTGTCAAGGCAAGCAGTTTGCCATTTCTTTAATCAGTACAATATATATGAAGATGATGCATAAATGATGTCCTGGATTACCATTTGCTACCAAACACAATGACTAAATAGTAAATAATTCCAATCTGACCTCTGACTTGAAATCAACAAGTCATGAAAACAGAAAACAGAAAACTCTGTTAGTTTCAAGGGTAAATAGAATAAAATATCTAATGCTTCCATTTGCTCTATATGCTATTGATGATCTCTTGCATCAATTCCTTGGTTTGCTCAACTTCAAGCGTTTCGCAGTAGAATCCCTGAAAATCATTAGAATTGATATTAATTTAATGTGCTCAATTCAGTAAAGTGGTGCTTTTGTATCAAAGTATATTCATTGTGTTGTGAGTTTCTTGGAACTGATATGCTGTGACTTACCATGATACAAGATGAAACAAGCATTGCTCCATTGGAGGTAGTGACACTGGTATCAGTGAGTTCAAAGCCAAAGGCAGTCATGGCCTCCATCAGTTTAGTGAACCCACCTCTTTTCTTCTCAAGGATTGCCTTTACCCAAAGTTTGTTCCCATCTATCTGAGTCACATTGACCCCTGCCTGCCAACACCAGCAACCAACATTTAAAATATAAGTAGAAGAACTCCCATGTTTCAAAGAGATCAAATGTGCAGAGTTATTAGCTAGTTGTCCAAACCTGAATTCCAAATTTCTTCATCTCTTCTGCAGCCTGAATTTCTTCTTTCTTTTGCTCCGGTGCCTCTTCTTCTGATACTTCCATATCGAAAAGCTGGTCTTTGAGTATGTTCACAGTCTTCTGCAGCTCGTGGATATAAGTGATGGAATCCTCAACAATAGTTGCTTTGTTCATCTGAGACAGGGCAAGAAACAAGAATTAGATTCTTACTCTCTCCACCTTTGAATAAAAAAAAGAAAAGTATTGGGCTTAATTATGAAACTTGATATGAAATGAATAGAATACTTGCATTTGTAATGTTTGGGACCAATGCACGTAGGGTGAGGAGGCGTTCACTGAGTTTCTGCCGTCTCCTCCTCTCGGCGTGGAGGTTCTTGGACTTGTATTCGTGGTTATTGTTGTGACTCCGATGACCCATCCTACCCCCTATTTCAATTATGCATGATTCATCCAAGGGAGAGGCTACAAACTCCATGTTCTGGAGATATTGATGAAACTTAAGTTTGATAAGTGAGGGAGAGAGAGACTAATGTTGGCTATGAATTATATAACTGGTCCTCACAAGGGAATCCATTCATTGTGTGTGAGAGAGGAGCAACCAAGATGCTTCAGTTATGATTTTCACAAGCAGCACAGTTCCATATAGTCTAACTAACAAAACTTGAGAGAGAGAGAGAGAGAGAGAGAGAGAGAGTGAGTTAGTTATAGTCTATCGCAATTGGGTTGGGTAGGCTTTGGTTTAATCATGTACATAAATAGTTTCTACAATTGTATGTTTACTGCAATAATCTGGAGCGTTAAATTAATCAATGGATGGGATTAAAGAATTGAATGATAAGAGGGTTCATTTTTCAGAGTGGATTTGAGCTAAGAAGTGAAGTAGAAGCCTCAACAACAGCTAGCATTCATTCACATGTTGAATGAGGAACAAAAAATATCTGGTTTTTGTGTTTTCTGTTGAATGTTCATGTCATGCCTGTTGGTCCTTGTTGACTGGAAAAAGTACAAACGAATGAAGTTTGTTAGAGCACCAGAAATATAGACTACACTCTTTATTTTCTAACGCAATTCTGAAGATTTGTGTTACATTATTTTCTTTTCTGGCATAGCATTGCTTCCCCCGCCCCGCACAAATGTCCTCTCTCTCTCCCTCCCAACCCCCCACCCCCCAAAAAAAGTAGGTACAAACTAGGCCTAAGGAGTACTGAATCAAAAAAACTTACATGTAATAGGGATAACACTGTTTTGCTATTTCCGGTCAATAACACAATTTCATGTGAAAAAGTTATCCTACGTGTCATTGTGTTATTAATCAAGAATAACAAAAAGTGATATCCCTGTTAAATAAGACTTTCTCTCATATTGAACCGCCAAACTGAGAAATTGACTAAACCGAAGTGAATTGGACCGAACCGAACTAATCAGTTTGAATAGTGAATTGGACCCAACCAAACTAATCAGTTTGAATTTTTATTTATTTTTTATTCAATTTCGATTGGCGAGGGTTCCAAATTTGGCCATTTCAGCAGTCTGTGGTCGATTTGGGGTATTCGGTTCTGTTACCAAACTGAACCAAGGCCTAGTACAAACTGTAAAATTGAGAAAAGCCCAAGCCCAAGCCCATGTCCAAGCCTCTCTTAACCTTCTTCGACCCAGCTAAAACAAGTCCAAGTTTATTTCAGCCCAAAAGTTTGTTTTGGGTCCGATGGAGCCTGAAAAAAACACAGAGAGAAAAAAAGTAAAGAAACTCAGTTAAAATTGTTCTTCATTTCTCTTGCCTACTATCGGTAACCCAAAAGGGCTAAAACCCAAAACCCCAGTGTCCGCCACCATCACTGGACGAACGATGTCGTTCTCTCGCATCCTCCAGCGCGCCTTCTGCACCAGCACCCAACCCAACCCCACTACCAGCCAGAGCATTAAGGCCATCTCCACCGACCTCTACAAAGAGCGCAACCTCAAACGCCTCGTCGAGAAGTTCAAGAAGTCCTCTGAGCTCTATCGTTTCCGAACCAAAACCCCCATTTACGAGGATGCCGTTCGCCGGCTCGCCGCCGCAAAACGTTTCAAGTGGATCGAAGAGATCCTAGAGGACCAGAAGAAGTACCCGGACTTCTCCAATGAGGGCTTCGCTGTCCGTCTCGTTTCGCTCTACGGTAAAGCCGGTATGCTTGAAAATGCCCAGAAGGTGTTCGACGAAATGCCTGATAAAAACTGCGAGCGCACGGTGTTGTCCTTTAACGCCCTCTTGGCGGCTTGCATTAACTCCAAAAAATTCGACAAGGTTGATGAGGTTTTTAAAGGGGTCTCGCAGAAGTTGTCAATTGAACCGGATGTGGTGTCGTATAATACTATGATCAAGGCGTTTTGTGAGATGGGTTCGTTGGATTCCGCTGTTTCGATGCTGGGTGAGATGGAGAAGAAGGGCATGAAGCCAGATGCCATCACGTACAACACGATTTTGAATGGTTTATATGCGAATAGTCGGTTTTTGGATGCTGAGAAGCTATGGGGTCGAATGGTGGAGAAGAGTGTTGTTCCTGATGTTAGGTCTTACAATGCCAAGTTGCTGGGGTTGGCTTCAGAGAAGAGAACTGAAGAAGGGGTTGAGTTATTTGAGGAATTGAAGAACAAGGGAATAAAACCTGATGTGTTTAGCTTCAATGCCTTGATCAAGGGCTTTGTTGATGAGGGGAAATTGGAAGAAGCAAAGAAGTGGTACCATGAAATGGGGAAGAGCAATTGTGCCCCGCAGAAATGGACTTTCCAGACGCTTGTTCCCTTTGTTTGTGAGAAGGGTGATTTGGACTTTGCCATTGAGCTCGGGGAGGAAATTTTCAAAAGGCGCCTTCTTGTGGATGCAGCGTTGTTGCAGATTGTGGTGGATGGGCTGGTTAAGGCCTCTAGGATTGAGGAGTCAAATAAGCTTGTGAAACTTGGGAAGTCAAATAGTTACCGGCGTTATAATCTCAAGTTGCCTACAGAGTAATAATGTATTTCTTTTGATGTTTGTTCTGTTTTGCAAATTGCATGTTATGGTTTATGATTCAAAGCACAAAATGGTAAGGAAATGTGGAACTCTTTTGAATTGGAAGTTTGATCGATTTTGTTTATCCTTCTGCAATTTACTAGACATATTTGTGCGATGCATAAACATTTTATTTTCTTTATATAAATTACACAGCTGACCAGAAACGAAGAAGAATATATATATATTACACAGAATCAGTTTCATAGAGCATCGATCTCATATACTCCTTAAGCGAGGGAAGGCATTGGTTTTGATCGTAGCTATACATCAGTGGCACCATTCTTGCAAGATTAAGGGAAGCGTTGGTGAATGCGGCTGGAAACAGATTAGGAGACACCAATTCTTTGTTCAGGCGCTTCCATTCTTCTGAAATCAAAGTAATAGTAATTTCTTGTGCGTCCTCAATCGAACAGCCTTGGTGTTCGTTTAAGTAGCACCGTATGTATGAGCCGTCGTGCCCATCTTGATTCTCATCCTACAATCAATATAGTTACATAAGCACATTTACAGCTAGAGAAATGAACAAAACATGTTTACAGCGTGCTTGATATGAATATAAGCTTGCCTCTGCACTTCCCAAGTCGTCCCAGAGCCGCAGAATTGCTGCTGCAGAAGATATGATAGCTGGAGTTTCATTCAACAGCTCCACGCTTTGTTTGGTTATGCCTTGACCCAAGAGAAAGAAAATGTGGACCATCACCACATTCACCCCAGAAGAAACAATCCCATTCTTTAAGTAGTCTTCTGCTTTGGGCAAGTGCCCAGACTTAAACCATTTTGCTTCTACTAAAAATGCATTGCACAGACTCCCCCACTGCATGAAATATAGAATTGAATAATTAACTAATCTTTAATTAATTATACTGGTAATTGATAATCAGCCAATCATCACGCAATTGGTATATATACCGTTTTCCTAAGAGAGTGTAACGGGTTCCAGCCGTGCTTCTGATAGACCTTGCTGCTGATTTCATTCGTCATATCGTGAAGAGCCTTGAAGCATATTTTCATGTAGTCTGGTAGGTGATCTATATCACCAATTTCCCATCTGCAGAAGCATCCAACAATTTTATTGATCAGTCAATGGGCAAAACTTGTTAAATTAATTAAATTTAGTTGTTGAGGCATGTTTATTGCATATATATACCTATTGACAGCCTCTGTGAAGAGAATGAGCTCATCAAGCGTCCCGTAAACATCAAAAATGTCATCAATCAAATAGATGAATGAGATGGGTTTTGTGAGCTCAACCCTCTCCTCTGATAACTTTGGATCTGTTAGGCATGCCATGGACCATATGTACCATTTAACTGGTTGGTCTCTGGCAAACTTCAATTCCTTAGCCAATCCGAGCTCTTTCCACCACCTAATTGAGATAACATAATTCAAATAGGCACATTGATTAATTAGCAAGAGACGTCCAATTATATATATCTACGTACATCCTCATCAATCATATTGTCAATTAACTTACTTGGAAATTTGAACAATTTCCTTCTGGTGTAGGGACTGGACCATATTAAAATCTGTTTTTGTCACTTCCTGTAAGATATTTAACCATCGATTATTCGTGCCTCTGGAATTAGTAGCAAAAAAGTTCTTGGCCATGAATGTGGCCAAACTTTTGTGATGGGGATTAGACAATGTGTTTCCAACAACTCTGGCTTGGTGATGATCAAGATGTGACAAGGATGTATTTAGGAGATGACAACTAAATTGTCCAGCTTCGTCAAGTGTAACTTCTCCTTCTGTACTTAGCTGTGAAGCTTCGTATAAACTCATCAATCCCTTAATGTCTTCACTCAACATTTGCTTGAAGCTTCCTTCGCTTTCTTTGAATTTGTTGAACACATCTATTTAACAAAAAATATACATATGGTGAGCAGTCGAATGATTGGCTAGTACTGAGTACCTATATATACGTATGATACCTACCATCAGGCACGAAGTAACCCTGTTGTCTGAGCAGTCGAAAGCGAACTGCCACCTCATGAAGATCGCTGTGATGATTAGCTCCATGAGTACTACCGGAGGTGATAATCAAATGCTGTTTTTGAAGAATTTGGTCAATCTCTTCTTGAAAGTGGTGGTCAATACCCAGCCGTTGAACAGCATCGATCATGTTCAAACCCTCAACTGCTTCTTCTCCTAGTTTGCTCAGTACATGCCTGAACACGTCCAGCTTTCGTGCATGTAGGAAACAAATGTCATCATCCTCCTGCTTGCAAGAAAAGCAAAGAATTATTTTAGGCATGAAGGAAAATGCAACATAAAAGGCAAAGAGCAAGTGTTACGTACCCTAGTAATTGTATTAGCGTAGTTAGTTTTGGAGTTGGTTAATAGGTGCGAGGGAGTTGAAAGCAAGCCATGATCTTGGGCAGTGCTCCATTTTTGAGAAGAGGGCTTAGGTGTAAGCTGAATGAGGTTAGAGTGCCCGATATGTGGGATCTTTTTTGGAGGAATTGGAGGATTATAGACAGCAAAGATGGCCTTAGAAAACAATGCCATTTACTTGAGCAATTGCAGGATCTTGTTTTTTCTCAGTTTCTGTTGCTTAATTTGAGAGTGTAGGAATGGCAATCCCAACAAGTCTAGCTTATCACTTAT